TTTGAGGATTTCAAACACGACCTACCATGTAATCTTAAAACCCCCTGTGGTTTTCTGTTAAACCTCTGAAGAGCAGCAAAGGCTCCAACAATACAACAGTGTGAAGAAGAGTCAATTACCTGAAACAGCTGCTCACCTGAATCAGATTTTAGTTAGAAAGGCCATTTTAGTCATTCAGGAGTCAACAAAAAAATTAACCATGCCAAGAACAAAGTATTTGGTGTTTTACCAGCCAAATGGTGCACTCTTACCTGTGGACAAGTGGAGGAGCTTGTCCTGTTCCCATTGCTCTGCATGGATCTAAACAGCTCTATCAATGGCTCCATGTATGGATTTCTCCCATCAAACTGTATTTTGTGGTACCAGCAATGCAAACACCTCCTAAAGAGCTTCAGAAAATCACCTGGTGAACATACAGATTTCTTCATTATCTTCCAAGAACTTGGAATAAACTGCTCCTGTTTGCCAGGGAGTTAGGATTCCTGCAGGCTGTCCTTCCCCAAAGAAAGCCTATCCCTCTGTGTGGTATGAAATATTTGGATTCTCTAGTAGGACATGTAAAATGTAGAGTATTTCTGTAGATAAACAAGTGAAAGTACTTCATAGGCTAGGGAAAAATAGACACTCATTTCTGCAGGTGATACAGACTCTCAGAGTGAGAAAGACAATTCTCCTTTACAGAGTTTTTCTCTGCAGTTTCAGAAGTAGAACAGAAGGAATTTTCCACTGGGGTATGAGTATCTTACCACATCATTATCTCAATCTTATTTCCTCATTTGGAAAAGTTACTTCCCTATAACAGGTTTTTCAAAAATGGAATTAAGATGAGCAAATATATATTATGAAATCAATTACAATCTTAATGACATTTTCCACTGGCAGACCAGAGAACAGCATTATTTTATTTAGCTTGTCTGTTATCCTTATCCTCATTTCTTTGAACACATAAAATACACTGTACACTACAAGAAAGGATGGATGGATGGATGGATGGATGGATGGGTGGGTGGGAGAGACTGACATATTTTCCTTGCTCCCTAAAAAATTGCTTCTCTCTTAGTAAGTATAATCCCTGTTTTTCCACAGACTTCTGGTGTGAATTTTTTCTATTAATCCTTTTAGGATGAAATCCACAATAAGTGCTACACACATAAACTGATTTGCAGCTGACATTTAGATATTCAGCACCAAAATTACAATGCCCAGTTAGCTCAGTTCATATGAATCCACTAAAAAAACACCAACCTGGGTGAAGTGACCCACACATCCAGGGGATTTAATACATGCTCCACCTTTTCAGAACAAAGTGCAATCCCCTGATGTATACCTCTAATTGATTTTTCTCTGACAGGACACAAATGATATTAATGGACTCAAGGAAATTCCAGCCCTACTATATTAGACTGTCCTACATAATTACTCTGAATAACCTTTATTTTTACATCCACCAGGTAATTTATGAGAAGTCCTCATGTATATCCTTCAAGGTATTCAAGTGCTGCTGGAAGGGGCTTCACTTCTTAAATTATGGCAATATAAATAATTTTTTTCTGTCTTCTCAGAAGATCCTTCTTACCACATTAAAACAGACATAAATCTACATTGCTGACTCATCTCTATGGCTTGCACTAATTCAGATTTCATTTACATGCATGAGCAGTCATATATATTTTAATGAAGTCTTTTGCAGTAAATACCACCCATGTCAGAAACTTTTTAAAAACAAGAAATAAAAATTAGAAGCAGATTTCTGTGTATGATTGGGAATATTAATTTGTCAGGTCAGTACCCATTTACTCAGGAGCCTTATAAAACTTGTTATATAAACTAGTTTCATAAGGCTTTAAAAAAACTTATAAAACTAGTTATATAAACTAATTTTATAACTCCTGCTCTGTGTTTTGCAGGGTCCTTGTTGGATAGAGAGCTGTTGAATGTTCACTCAAATAAATGATATATTATTATATGATAAGAATATGGTGGGACCTTGAAAGATAAGTGGTGATCTGAACTGAATGTATGTTAAATCAGCTGATGATATCCTGGGCCCCAAAACCGATACAATATTGGCGAAGGTAGGTTTTTGTTAAAATCTTTTTATAATAAATTCTTGGTCAAATTCCAGCTTTGCACAATTTGTAGAACTGCTCTTCTATAAACTGAACCTTCAGCACTTTCTTTAAAACATGTGCTACTTTTTTTTTTTTTTCCATACTGTGAAATCTTTCAAGAAATCATAAATTATCATTCAGCAAAAGTATTGGTAACAAATCTGACCTGTCTGAAAGTCTAGGGACTGGTTGCCATGGCCAGCTCTACTGGGTGGCAAAAAAGAGGCAGAAGCAAAAGAGTCATAAAGGAGGAGCTTTCACTACCCTAGAAAAATCCCAACAGGAGAGGCAGCACCCTGCCATAAACTGAAGGCATACCTGGGGTTTATCATCCCCTTTTCAAAGGTCTGTTTTGATCTCCATCTGATCTTAAGGAAGGATGGATTTAGCTGGTGCCTTTACAACAGGGGAGATGAATGCAGCAGCTCCACACAGAGACAGATTCTCAGAGTTTTGTGAGTGTCTGGGGCCTGACCAGCTGGAAGGGTTTCCTTTCCCTGTGGCTAGATTTCCATGTAGGAAAACCAGAGAAGATAATTCACTTAAGAGTAGCTGCTGGTTGGAGAGTCTCCCTTGGAGGTGTACTCAGCAAGGCAGAAGCTGTGATATAAATAAGCTTCTGTGTCTCTGTGGGCACTCAGCCTCCAGCCTTTACAACCCATCTGTCCCTTCCAGAAGCAAGCACAATTTTAGGAAATTTGTGTGACAAAAGCCTGCAAGGGAACTCCTGTCTTTTTTCATCTCTCTGTTCCTTCCTCCAGCCCTGCTAGAAATTCCCCATCTAATCTAATAATCTATTAACAGATTTTGATATTCTCCCCGGAGAATTTAGTTCTCAGTCTCTGAGAGTAGCAGCTGATCTCTCAACCTGAGAAAAAGCCAGTCTGATACCTCATCTACCTGGTCAGGCTTCCTGCTGTGAAGAGGATCTTGGAGGAGCAGGGAGGAAAGAGCATCTGAACCTTTTCACACAGCCATGAGCTTTGGGTTGGGCAGAGTGAATTGGCCCGAGTGCAACTCAAGAGCAGCCTCAGAGGGGCTCTTAATCTCAGGCAGCTCTGGAAAATGTCCATAAATAAAAAAAAGAAATAAAGCACAAAATGCTGTACAGATAGAACTGAGCTGAGGGTCTCAGGACTTACCAGATAATTAATCCTGTCATTGATTTCTGTGCCTGATGTCCCAGTCTGAAAGCAGCTCCCTGACTTCTCACCCAGACATGAAGTCGGGCAGTCCACGCTGTCTGCGGGAAGTGCTCTGAGCCCACTTCCCCCCTGCCCAACACCCCAAATTCCCAAACCAAACTACAGTTCTCATTTGAAATCAGAGCCTACCTTTGGGGTGAGGTTCTGCATATCCAATATGAGGAATAGAGTATTTCTGAGCGATCAAGTGTCCTTAGCAAAGCCAACGTTTCTATCACTGATTATTGACTGATTTTCCATAAAACTTCATTTGTTTCCTGTCTAATTCTGCCTAGCATGAACAGTTTTACACAACCTATTGCAACCACTTCTCCACTTGCTTGCCTTTCATTTTCTCCAGAAATTAAAACAGCAGCATCTCTTTAATGCTTATTATAGAATAAATGACTTATTCAGACATAAAAATATTTTGAGCCCCGCTGTTAGATGTACAATGGTATAATAGATAATCCAAATTCAGACAGCTAGAAAACACAGAAATACTAATTTTATTGTGGAAAACTTGTGCTCTTCAGATGTAGCTTTGATTTAATATCTTTTTGGGCACTGTAGTTTAGCTGATTTAACTTTTAGTCAAGAAGATGAGTAATAAGCATTTAAACTATATGGTTTTCAAACTGCAAATTAGTTATCTGACTGACACTTAGAGCAATGTAAAAGTACTGAAGTATTTAATTTACTAGTATAGCAAACAGTGCCTTAATCAATTTAAATTTCTTCTTCTCTTTTCATTCTTTCAGTAGATTTAGAGCTGTATAAATTGATACAGTTCATACTACTTTGACTGAGCTTTTAGACTGAGGGGAAAGGAGGTGACCATTTATAATGTTAACGTAGGGAGGAAAATGCTTTTTCAAATTAGGGTCTCCTCACAGATCCTGACCTGAGTTGTACTGTTGCTGAAATCAAGGCTTTATAGACTAAGAATATTGTGACCACAAGATGAACTTTTGAGAACATACCAAAATTCAGCCATGCATATCAAAAAGAATGAATCAGGTGTGTCTTGCAGAATGAGTTCCCTGGCCTGATCAAATGCAATCTGCTGATTTGGGACAGAAAGCTAATGGATGAAACTTAGAGTGATCATTGGGAAACCTCAGGGAAATAAGAATAGCTTCATATTGGAGCAAAACATTTCTAATTTGATATTACTTTCTTAGTAACCTTGACTAAATATTACAGACTGCAACATAGGCCTGTAACCTGAAGAACATTGGAGGAGCTGAAGCAGCATAAGATACTTTTTATTAGAAGCTCAGTTGTTAATCTAGCATTCCCCATGGCTGCAAAGCAGCTGTTTTAAAGAAGTTACTTTAAGGAAGGGTGAGGAGATCCATTTTGGCAATGGGAACCCTGTAAATAGTGCTGGTGGGTAGCACTGTGCACACATTTCTGAGCTTTGCACAGTCAGTGCACTGCCCAACCCTGGCATTACCTGAGGGGAAGGAGCCCCATGGTCCATCTTGTGCTGGTGATGGATGCCTGTAGGTACAGGAGCAGAGAAGTGAGAACCAGCAGCCCCAGAGCAGCATTCATCCAGCACTAAAACACAATTCTACTCTGCATTCCGTGCCTTTTTACCTAAGTGAGCTGCTGTTGGTGTAAATCCTTAGGCATGGTTGATTCCCCCAGTAACTGAAATAAATGGCTATTCATTTCTAGGCCTGCTGCTGCTGCAAAGCTAATGGAGACCTAGAAAAGGGAGCTGCTTTCAATTTTGGCTTACCAGCACTGGCATCAACTCAGCTCTCCCTGCAAAATCTTCATGACTGATGAGGCAGAAAGCAAGAAAGGCAGAGCTTTGGCTTTCAGACCACAGATGAAGCTTCCAAAGGTTTCTTCTCTTCCTTTTGTTTCTGACAATTAAAAAGATATTAAAGAAGAGTCATTGTAAGCAACATATATGCAAGCACAGACCATCCTCGTGCTGTATACAGGCAGAATCACACTTGGAGATGGAGCACTGAATCATAGAGTTCCTTCCCATAGTCTGTGTATTTTAGAGAGGTGTTTTAGAGAGTGCTCTCCACCCCACTGATGGCATTTCTGACACGGGATCAACTGCCAAAGCCTGCTTTCCTGCTGCTCTCTCTCTACTGTGTCTGACAGCATTTTTAGGATTTAACTGACCTAGAAATGGCTTCTGCCTGTTACTGAAAATGCAAAGAAAGGTTCCACTAAAAACAGCACTTAGGGAGAAATTAGGATTAAAGAGCAGCCAGCACTTAAACCATGTAAATCTGAGTGATGTCAAACTGACTGCAATGACAGAACTCAAGAGCAATCTAATGGATGCTTTCTGCTGTTTCAAGTGAAGCATTTAAACATTTTAATGTAAGGCTGTTTAAAATGCATATTCTATGCCACTTTAATTCAAGCTACAGCAGTGGCTTGATAAATTTCCTGTTTCTGATTGGCACATAGCAAAAGATCTCCCACGCCTCTGTGTGTGTTGAGTCCTGTAAATTTAAGAGCATTTTTTTTTTCACACCGTGTATCCTGCAACATTTTTGTGTTGGAAAACCTGGACTTATAAAATCAGCATCTTTAAAATGTTTCCTGTACCCTGCATCCAGATCATAACATGTGGCACTTTTGAAGGCCTAAAATATGCAGCTTTAAAATTTCTCTGACTGGAATAATTAAATACCATCTTGTATGCCCACTACACTCTTTTATACATAAATTACTTACAAACCACTGTGAGATTCAAACAAGAATTTGACAGGGAAAAATAAGTATTAACTCCTATGAGTAATTTAGGCATGTCAAAACTATAAATTGGTGCCTTACTTTTTTTTTTTTATGATTTGTGACACAAGAATGGATTACCTCTGCACTATTTTCTACTTCAGTTATGATTTTTGTCATTCAAAAAAAAGGCAGAGCAAGAAAGAACGAAAATAAATTATCACAGCTCAGTGTAAACTATTTGCATGATAGTCTTAAGAAAGGAAATTAATAGAAAAAATACATTCTTAAATTTCATGGTGACCTTGAAGTTCTAAAAATAATGACTAAAATTTTTACCTTTCTTCTCCATGACAGTTAAGTGTCACTACAATTCATTCACTTGGTGCCATTTTCCCGTCTGGTCGTAGTTCTTGTCACAGAAATGAAGAATTTGAAACCTTTTCCAGATCATTTTTAACATTCTGCATTTGGTTCCGTTGCTAACTCTATCTCTACATTCATCTACAGGCACGATCTCTGAATATATATGCAAAGGTTCACTGAGCCAACCAAATGAAATATGGAATAATAACAAGATGAAACTTCTTTTTCCTTGCTGAATGGTGTGTCACTACATATCACTAGAAGACATTCCAATTCTTATAAATCACACTGTGCCATGCGTTAGAAAGGGGAATGACTCAGGAGAAAAGGAAAAATATCATTGGTGTGCTCTTAAAGTAATGCTAGTCACTCGTAGATGCCTCCAAGTGTGATTGGACTGTGATGTATGTGTGTATTTCACTCGAATCACAAGAGATTATAACAATGGAATGATGTAGCCCAGAAAACTCAGCATCCCAATTCTGAGCCTTACTCAGGATTCCATCACAAAGCCAACATTCCGTGAATTCTGTTGTACAAAGGGTCAGCAAACTCACCGTGCCAATCACAGAGCCTGTTAAGATTTCTTGATGTGACTTTTCCTTCAAGTACTCGGAATTTTCAGGAGGAGGGTCAAAGTGTTTTGGTTTGCCAGTGAATTTGTCCTTCAGCTAAACCACTCCTTGCAAAGAGGTTTCTTAGAGGGCAGAGCTGCCCATGCCCCTCTTTGTCCTACAGCAGCTCTAAGTCTCTCAAGGCCTAAATCTCTCAAGCACAGAATTAGTAACAGACTGCCAGGAAGTACCACAACCCAGTTCCCATCCCTTTTCCCTCCAACACACATTACTGAGGTATGAAACAGCCTGCAAACACAGGCTGAAACCCCAGGAAATGCAAAATGTGGGTAGATTATGCTACTCTAAATACAAACTTAACTGCCGGGGGCAAAACTCTTGGAGAGGGTTTGTGCTCAGCTCAGCACAGGGAGCGGTCAATGCTCAGATAAATGGGCAGGCAGGCAGCGCTCGGTGCCCTTGCCTGTGTTTAATGGGTGGCCCCAGGCTCCCTTTGCTCAGCTATCCTGCCCTGAATGCAGAACTGGCGTGATTCATGGCCACTGAGCCACTTAAACAAACAAGGAGGTGCATATTAACATCTGGGGGAAAAAAAACCCTCTCACGAGTGCCCCTCATCATTCCAAACCAGGATTTTTAAAATGGGAAGTTTCCTTGAGAACTGAGTTGCTTCAAGAGATTTTTCTCCTATTTTAAGATGTTACCCATCTTTTGTGTGGAAGAAGGACTTTTTTAACATTGTTAATTTTTAGCTTCATTGGTAACTCTGATATGAGGGATTTGTACAATGGCATAATACTTGCCAAAAAGCCTGTGGGTCCTAAACCCCACACAATTTTGCAATTTCAAAACTTCACCGGGTCATTTTAGTATTTTCCCAGCATCCCTCTTTACAGAGGAGCAAACCACATACAGCATGTAAGAATTCAGTCACTCAAAGAGGTGTACTTTGTATCACAAACCAGGGTTCCTAGGTGTTTGTAAAGGTTTCAGTATTGTTACTCTACTACTTAAAATGCCTCTGGTTTTATGTCTAGCGTGAGATGCTGCTTTCAGTGCTACCAATAAGCCAGAGAAGCATTTGCAGTATCTCTGCTGCATTAAGAACTTCTCTAGGTACACAGATCTGTCCATCCAGTCACCTACAAACCTGACGTAACAACTGTCTGCCATTTTTCATTCCATCAGAGGTTCACTACTTATTCAAAGAAATTTTACAAAACTATTTTCTACTTTTACTCTTACTAGATGGATAACAGCAGAAGGTAAACAAGATGAATTTGACTTCCTTTTTCTAACAGAAATAACATACACAGTTGTACTACAACCTAAAATAATAGATTTACTGATATTTGAGATCCACTTGCAATTCTATTTCTCTTCTTAGCAAGGATAGAACAGAGCATCACGAGCTGGGAAGTTTGCCTTTCTTTTCCATTCCTGTATATTTTTGCAGTTTAAACAACAGTGTAGTGTTTAAAAAACACAGCATAGTAGCTCTGGAATATGGTATTGCATCTGGACACCATCCATTTTCAAGAAATGCCATCTACATGACTGAATTTGGATCTATTTTGGGGAGAAGCCAAGATTTCCAACACAATCAGTTTAAAATTTGGCTATTTTTCTTTTCCTTTGTTTATAAAATCCTGTAGATTTATGGGAAGAAAAAGCTGTTCTGAATGTGATGTGTTTATAATCAACAAGATGGTCTAGAGAGATTTGTACTTTCAGACATTTGGATTGAATTTCAGCTGTGTCTCAGCACAGTAATTGATTATCTCAAAAATAATTCTACCTTCATCTCAAGTCTATCAGACCAGACAATTCAAAATGTTTTTAAAAGCCAGGCTATTTTAACCACTTTGCAGAATACCAGTCTACCAGATGGAGAAAGAAAACCCTAGCAGGAAAATAATGGGATTATTACATTACTTTAGACCGTGGAAGTCTCTTCAGAGAAAAAAACATCTGCAGTGTCTATGTGTGTGCATATGTTTAACAAAAAAAACCCTGGCATGTCTGTGCACACGTGTACATGTCTGTATATAGTCTAACAGCTGAAGGCTTTTCATTTCAGAAAGCTATTTCAGAAAAAACAATTTTTTTTTTCACATTCCTATAGATTTTGCTGATGTTCCCATAGGGAAAAAAAATTACTAAAGAGGGAAAGAAGTTCTGCTAACACATGAATTAACAAAGTCTAGATTTTTATGAGTTGTTCCTTATGTCAGGGAAGTTTTGGCTAACATCTTCCCAACTGCTGGAGAACAAAAAGGGACCTCTCTTAACCAAGGGGGAGAGAGCAGCCAGTGGCACAACAATGGGGTCACACAGACAAAGAGACAGGCAGAAAGGACCCCTTCCTTTGCCCCATCTCCCCCACCCTCCCCTTCTTTCCTCCATCTCTGCAATTTCCCTTTATGAGTCTGCAAGTCTAGTTTCCATAGGAAACCATGCTAAAAAGTCTGTCAAAACATAAATATCGAGACTTACTGTTCCCCTGTGGGAAGTGCGTCACTGTACAGCGCGATGAGCGCTGCAAGGCAGCAGGGTGGTGTTATTTTCTGTTCCACAGAAGAAACAATAAACATCACAAGCACCTTTTTTTTTTCTTTTTTTCCCCCCCACCAGCAACTCTGGAGTGAGAAAACACATGAAAAGTAGTTCATTTAATGGTGAGAGACATCACTGTGATCAAGGGGAAATAAAGCTTTAGAGCTGCAATCCGGTGAGGAACCTTTTCCCTTCCTCTTAGCAGTACAGCTGTGCTCGTGCTGGCAGCCAAGCTCTGCCAGGGCAGAGGTTTGGGCACAGACCCTGGCACACAATTCCTCTGCTCCTAGCTCAGGGCAGTGCCCACAGCTGCATTTTGGCCTCTCAGGATACTGCAGGGACTTCTCTCCTCACGCAGCCTCAGCACAGCCTTCCTGTCAGTGAGGAGAGTTCAGCTCCCTGAGCCGGTGGGATGTTGTGCCTTTTGCCTCCTGGGTGCCAAGCAGCCTGAAGTAATTTTCCTTTTTATTTTCACATACACAAATGTAGGCTGCAAGTTCAGTTCCTAAGGCCAGCACATTGTGAGAAAGGGCTCTTCTACCACAGGTCAAGTAAAGCAATTTGTTCGGTACTGACTTGGTTTTCAGAGTGTTATTTTAAGCAACAGATGGATTACTGAGATTTCAGGCAAAAAGACCCAGACCTGTGTCAATCAGTCACATATATTC